AGGGCAGCCTCAGGCAGGAGGGTGACTGAGTCCTGAAACCTCGCCCCACTGGACTCAGCACCTGGCCTCTGCTCTCGGCTAAGTTTCTGTCTGAATCTGGTGGGGGATGCTTCTCTCTCGGCTTCACAGGCAGCTGGGAAGGAGCTGGGACCTTGGCGCTTCCCCGCCCACCGCCCACCGTGGGAAGGAGTGGGGGGTGGGGGAGCTGGGCTCTTCCCAGGGGAGAGAGGAAGAGCTCACTCCTCTTCCCTTGAAAGAGCAGCCACGTCCACCTGGCTCAGGAGCGTTGCTGTTCAGAGGAAGATGATGGTCAGCCATTGGACTGGCAATTGGCTCCACTAACCCCTGTGTGTCCTCAGCCTCAGGCTGGATTCATCCACCATTCATGCATCCATTCACCCACACTCTTGCCCATCCCCTGGGACATTCTTCTATCCACCCATTCATCCACCTACCCATCTTTCCTTACATCCCTTCAGGGCCCACAGGTCCATCCATGCTGCTGTCCCTCCATGTATCCAACTGCTCTCCCATACAACTTCTCATTCATCTTTCCATACTTTCCTCCCCCACATTTCTTCATAAACCTGTATCCATCTATGCACGATCTATCCTCTTCTCCATCCGTCCACCTACATACCTGTTCATCAGTGTATCCATGCATTGTCCATCCATCATCCACATATCCACTCATCATTTTATCCATCCTCTCTCATCCACCCACACTTTTGTGTTCCAACTTATACTCCTATCTGTGCAAACGTGAATCCACTTTCCCCCATCCATCCTACCCAGTAATTCTCAACAAGGAAGGAGATTATCATATTCTTCAGGGAGGCATTTTGAGTTTGAGAAGTCATGTTTGCATTATCATTTCATATCTACCTCTAATATAGTGTAATTTAATACCTGAAAATCAAAAGTGGTGTTTATTGTTCGTGTGGACTGCTGAACATAAATCTGAATGGACGTCTTGCCTGGTGGGTGAGATACCCAGAAATGATAGTGGTTGTCAGTGACGGTGGCCAGACCCTGAAGGAGCCATGTCACAATTTCTGAAGGAACGTAATTGCCTTCTGATTCTGTTATTTATTGAAAGAATTTGAAAAATGGAGAGAAAGTGCACTCAGCCATCTGTAGTTGATCAAATATGTAATGAGTGCTCAAAGTTATCAGGAGAAATAAGACCTGCCCTTGTTCAAGGACCTCACACATTGATTGGTAGGGAATCAGACTCGTGAGTAAGCTGTTACCACACAATACATGCGTGCAGAGTGCTATCGATCCTAGAAAAAGAGTTGCACCCTTTCCTGGGGAATATCAAGGGGGGCTTCACAGTGGAAGTGATACTTGAAGAAGGAGAAGGAAGTCTTCAGAAGAAACCACAGGGGCAGAGCATCCACAGACAGTACTCTGTTGTGATCAATAGTAAGGATTCAGGAGGCAGAATGCCTGGGTTCACACCTTGCCTTGGTTGCTTACTAGTCCTGTGACCTTGAACAAGTCAATTATCCTTTCAGTGCCTGGATTTTCTCAAGTCTAAAATGGGGTTAATAGCAGTATATTTCATGGAATTGTTAAAGACTGAATGAATCAAAAGTTCTGCATATATTAAGCACTAGACATATATGTGTATGTGGACATAGTAAGCGCTATGATAAGTGTTTGCTATAATTACTAAAAGCAAAATTGTGAGTGTATGTGGAGACATGAAAGGGGATGGCTTGTTGAGGCAGTGGAGAGCAGTTTGGAGTGACTTGAACATTCGACCAGATGAAGAGTTTGAGGCACACAGCAAGACTTGAGGCTCAAGATGTAAGCAAGGGCCAGGTTGTAAACTGAAACGGAATTTTTGGACTGGAACCCAGATTCTTTGTCCGCCGGAATCGATTAATGAATCCACGGACAGAAAGTGGTATAGCAAAGGGGGAGATTTATTGAAGAACAAGTACAGACTCCCACATGGGGAGAGGGCAAGAGTCCCACAGAATGGACTCCCAGGTAGGGAGGGGGAACGGGTCCCATTGAGTTCTTTTTCCCTATAGCTTATAAAGGCTGCAGAGCCTGGTGCCTTGATATCCCCTCTGATTGGTCACTATTCCCTTAGACTGGTTATTATAGTAACTCCTGGGCTCAAAGGTTGAACCTCACATGGGACACATGAGGTTCTCCCCCCTCCTTCCCCATTGTTTTCTTATTCCCTTTGGGCTTTCTTCTTCTCCTTCTGGATGAAGGGCTTTCTTCTCTTTATTTTGTAAATATAGACCTTTTGCTGTTCCCAGCTCCCTCATTCTATGGAAATGTACCTGTTGCAGCTTTTCAGCTTCCCCTATTCTATGGAAATATACCTTCTGCTGCTCTGTAGCCCAGTGCTTCCTCCATGGTCCCTTATTTCCAAAATTTCTAAAATTTCCTAAACCTGTCCTACTTTACCCTGAAAATTCCTGTTTCAAAACTATACCCGGAAGTTTGAACTTGATCCCTGGAAATAGGGTGCCAATGTAAGTTTTATTATTATTAAATTGTTGTTGTTATGTTTGTGCTAAAATGCACATAATATAAAATTTACCACTTTAACCACTCAGTAGCATTTAGTACATTCACAAATTGTGCAACCACCACCATTATCTTAGTCCGTGCAGGCTAAATAACAGAACACCACAGACTGGGCAACTTAACAGAAATTTATTTCCCACAGTTCAGGAGGCTGGGAGGTTTGATACCAGGGTGCAATGTGGTTGGATTCTGGTGAGAACACTCTTCCTGGTTTGCAGATGGTCACCTCCTAACCCAAGGGTGGGCAAACTTTTTGACTCGAGGGCCACAATGGGTTCTTAAACTGGACCAAAGGGCCAGAACAAAAGCATGGATGGAGTGTTTGTGTGAACTAATATAAATTCAAAGTAATCATCATTACATAAAAGGGTACGGTCTTTTTTTCCAATAGTTTTATTCATTTCAAATGGGCCGGATCCGGCCCGCGGGCCATAGTTTGCCCACGGCTGCTCTAGTTCAATGTTAGTTTTTGAGTTGGAGAGAGCCTGCATCCTGGTAGGGAGAATGTTTGGGACTGAAAAAATCGCTGGACCTACTACTCCCCAACCACACAGCGGGCATCCCATGATTCAAGGGGTGGCCTGTCTGAAAGTGCCTCTGAGCCCCACCTGAAGAGCAGGCACTTTCAAAAATGCTGTTGGGAGTAGGAGAGTTGACCCTGCTGTTGTCAGGGTCATTTTCTTGAAACAATTGGAGGGCAAATTGGCTCCCAGGCAGATCCTCAGGCATTAACCACAGTGAGAAAACAGCCCTGGTGAATACCAGACAAAGAGTCACCTTGGATGTGTTACCTCCAGGGCATTCAGCTTTTCTTCTTTGGAGGAGGGGTGTGGAGCAGGGTAGATATGCATTAGAAACAATGTTTGTCCTGCTGCCTTTCCTGAAACTTGGGGGTTTCTTGGAGACCCCTCAAGCAACAAACAGAGGTCAATGCAAAGGCTTAATTAAGCACCAGCTGTGCCTCCCGCCCCCTGTCCCCATCCACTCACATTCATCTTATACACTAGACTACTGTGTGAGATTTCATTTTGACAAAGGATTTTACTTTTTAAACAAATACAAAAACTACGACTACTAGGTCATCTCAAACCCTGGTCCTTTCTGCGTGTGTATAGGCAGCAGTCAGCCAGTGAAGAAACATGTGGATAGTGCTTTGTAAACTGTAGAGGGACATGCAAATTCTAGGGATTGTAATTAGGATCATTCTCCCAGGGGGGGCTGTTCGGCTGGCCCGCTTCCCGACAGTTTGGTGAGGGACTGCGGTCCTTAGCCCCCACGCCACAACTGACTCACTGCAAGCTGACCCCGTGACTTACTGAGTCAGGCTGGCCTTAGGGAACTCCTGGATCACCTCTCTGAGCTCCTCTCTCATCTTCCTTCCAGTCCAGACACGCCACCCACACCACTGGCTCAGAGATTTTCCCATGCTCTTCTCTGAGCCTCCATACTGACTCAGTCCTTAAAGTGACACATTTTAGATATTCAATACCTGTTGGGTGTTGCACCAGATAAGCCAAACCATGATGAAACGGAATTTTTGGACAGGAACCCGGATTCTTTGTCCGCCGGAATCGAAGAATGAATCCACGGACAGAAAGTGGTAGAGCAAAGGTGGAGATTTATTGAAGAACAAATACAGACGCCCACGTGGGGAGAGGAAAGAGTCCCATAGAATGGACTCCCGCGTGGAGAAGGGGGAAAGGGTCTCACTGAGTTACTTTTCCCCATGGCTTATAAAGGCTGCAGATCCTGGTGCCTTGATATCCCCAATAGTGAATGGTCACTATTCCCTTAGACTGGTTACTGTAGTTGCTCCTAGGCTCAAAGGTTAACCTCACGTGTTGAACCTCACAGGGGACTTGTGAGGTTCTCCCCTCCCTCCTCCTTCCCCATTGTTTTCCTATCCCCCCTGGGCTTTCTTCCTCTCCTTCTGGATGAAGGGCTTCCTTCTCTTTATTTTGTAAGTATAGACCAGCGGTGGGCAAACTACAGCCCGCAGGCCGGATCCAGCCGTTTGAAATGAATAAAACTATTGAAAAAAAAAGACCGTACCCTTTTATGTAATGATGTTTACTTTGAATTTATATATTTTGTAAATATAGACCTTTTGCTATTCTCCCAG